TCACTCAATCCACAGCTGTTGGTGGGACACTCACTCTGTGCGCATTTTGCCCACAAAATACACAGTTACGACACTTTACAGTATATTCTGTGAAGAGCTTTGAGACGTCTCAACGACAAGGTACTCAACGATAAGGCACTGTACCAAATGCAAGGATTAATATTATTAGTTATAGCGCCTTTCATACCGGGAGCACGTTGCAAACACTTGATGTTCCTGACTGGGTACAGAGATCGTACTGAACCAAGCAGCGAGGATAGGGGAAGAGAAAGTTGGGGGCGACAACAATATTACATTTATATTACGACTTTCATGTCGGAAGGACACTTAAGCTTGTGTGCGTGTCAGGGGGGTAGGCTGTTAGAGAACCTTTCAAGACAGATGAGGGGTAAATATTTGAAGGGAGAGGATCTTGAAAGTCGTTTTGCCAGGAGACAGTGGAGGCTGTCGTGGATGGTGTGTGTGTAGTCCAGTGCAACAGAATGTACGGATGAGTTATTAGTTGAAGTGAGCCTGGAGGTGATGAAGGCAGCGTTGGGTGCGAGATATGATCTAACGTGTGGAAGATCATAGCTGGCACCCATCCTTCTGATGAGATGTTAAACCGAGGTCCACCGACAAATCTGGCTGGACCTCCTCAAAATTTACCGCTCCACTCTAGCCTCGGCCAAGTCGTCCTTCTACTCCAGGATAATCCTGGAGGCGAAGAACAACCCCAGGCTACTGTTTTCCACCACAACCCGACTCCTCCGTCCCCCCCGCCACCCCGCGCAGGTCATCTCCTCCAACCTTCACTGCGAGGAGATGCTGGATTTCCTTGAATCCAAGATCAAGGGAATCCGCTCCGCGGTCACTTCCCCTCCAACTTCCACCCACCACCCACCCCTTCCCTCCCACACTCCGACTCCTACCCATCCTCCCCTACACACCTTCGTACCCGTTTCCCCACCCTCTGTCACTGAACTCATCCTATCCCTAAAACCAACCACCTGCTCCCTTGACCCCATCCCCACTCCACTCCTTATCTCCCAGCTCCACTTTCTTGCCCCACATATCACTGACATCATCAACCTGTCCCTCTCCTCTGGCTCTGTCCCCATTCCATTAAAAACTGCCATCATCACGCCCACCCTGAAAAAACCCTCCCTTGATGCGTCGCAGCTATCAAGCTACCGGCCCATCTCCAACCTCCCCTTTCTCTCCAAGGTCTTGGAAAGAGTTGTCGCCTCCCAACTGCGCTCTTTCCTTTCCACCCATTCTCTTTTCGAACCCCTTCAGTCAGGTTTCCGTGCTGCCCATAGCACAGAAACTGCCCTGGTCAAGGTCACCAATGATATCCTGACCATCTGTGACCAGGGCTCCCTCTGTCTCCTCGTCCTCCTCGACCTATCGGCAGCATTCGATACGGTCGACCACGCTATCCTACTCCACCGCTTGTCCTCCCACCTCAACCTTCAAGGCACTGTCCTTGAATGGTTTAGGTCGTACCTTTCTCACCGTCTTCACTTTGTCTCGACGAATGGCTTCTCCTCCACCCCCCGCACTGTCTCATGTGGTGTCCCTCAGGGCTCTGTCCTCGGTCCCCTCCTCTTCACCCTCTATATGCTCCCCCTGTGGTGACATCATCCGCAGACATGGGTTAACTTCCACATGTATGCGGATGACACCCAACTCTACCTTTCCTCCTCTACTCTCAACTCCACGACCACCGATGTCCTGACAGCTGCCTGTCCGACATCGAGTCCTGGACGAGAGACAACTTTCTTCAGCTCAACGTGCGAAAAACCGAGGCCCTCCTGATTGGCTCACGTCAGCGCCTCCGCACCTCAGGCGCTGACACCATCAGCATCCAAGGCTGCACTCTCCACCTCTCAAAGCCAGTCAGGAACCTCGGGGTTCTGTTCGACCCTGAGCTGTCCTTTCTCCCTCACATCCGCACCACAACTGGCACCGCCTTCCATCACCTCCGGAACATCGCCAGATTACGGCACTACCTCACCCCTCACGCGGCTGAAACCCTGGTTCACGCCTTTGTCACCTCAAGGCTGGACTATGGGAACTCTCTCCTCGCCGGCCTTCCCGCCACCTCCCTCCACAAGCTGCAGGTCATTCAGAACTCTGCAGCTCGTGTACTGTCCCGCACCAGGCTTCGGGACCACATCACTCCCACCCTCGCTCGCCTCCACTGGCTCCCCATCCCCCAGAGGATTGATTTCAAGATCCTCATCCTCACCTACAAGGCCATTCACGGCCTTGCTCCCTCCTACCTCTCCAACCTACTATCCCCCTACCTACCTGCCCGTACCCTCCGTTCCTCTGGCTCCGGTCTGCTCCACGTCCCCCGCCCCAACCGCCCTACCATCGGTGGTCGGGCCTTCAGCCTCTCAGCCCCGAGGCTCTGGAACTCCATCCCCCAGTGCCTTCGCCGCTTCCTCCCTTTCCTCCTTCAAGGCCGGTCTCAAAACCTTTCTCTTTGACCGAGCCTTCAGCTCCCCTCTCGACTCTCTTCCCCCTCCTCGCTCCCTCCCTTCCCTCCCCTCACCCTGACCATTTCCCCCCTCCTCGCTCCCTCCCTTCCCCTCACCCTGACCATTTCCCCCTCCTCGCCCCCTCCCTTCCCTCCCCTCACCCTGACCATTTCGCCCCTGCTCGGGTCATGACCCAACTGTGCAGCGCCTTGGGACGTCCTCCTGACGTGAAAGGCGCTTTATAAATGGAATCTTGTTGTTGTTGTTGTTGTTGAGGTCCCGTCTGCCTGCTCAGGTGGATGTTAAAGATCCCGTGAATGTTGGAAAACAGAAGGGAGTTTCTCTCTCCTGGTGTCCTGGCCAACAATCCCCCAAATAAAATTGGTCACTCAATCTACGATTGTGTGTGGGACACTCACTGTTGGGCGCAAAGTGGCTGACACATTTCACCCACAAAATATACAGTCAATCCACTTTACGTTATGTTCTGTGAAGCGCCTTGAGATGTTTGACAATGTGAAAGGTACTTCAGCAGATGCAACTATTATTATTATAAGATGCAGAGAAATGAGCCTTGACGATGGACTGGAAAATTCTTATATTTGACACAGGATATCTGCAATAGCAAAGTATCAAAGCACCTCTAGGATAATTGCTGAGTTACTGTTTTCGTAATAATAATAATCCTTGCATTTGATATAGCACCTTATCAAGTTGTTGAGATGTCTCAAAGCGCTTCATAGAATATATTGTGAAGGGGAGAATTTTTTTTGTGGATGAAATGTCCCACAGACATTTGATTCAGTGACCAATTTTTTTTAAAAACTGAATTTATTACCCCCGGAAAGTGATCTGCCAATCGATGAACAACCGGGTTCCTACTTACTGCTCGGTAAACAGAGGCGTGTGGAACAAGGAAACTTACCTAAGATATTGCCCTCCCGGGAATTGAACCTGGGTCCTCTGGCTTGTGAGGTGAGCCACAGTCTGATCACAGCGAGGCTGAGCTACAGGACTTTTGTAGATGAAAATCACTTTGTGTTCAGCAGAGCGATGGTTTACATTGGCTTCTTAAATATCTTACGAAACCTCGGTTCCTTTCCAGTTGCAACCACACGAAGAGATTCCCGCCAAAAAGCTTCGCCTGACAAAACCCAGCAAGTCTGCGGCTCTTCACATCGACCTGTGCAAATCCAGCAGCCCCACCGAGGCCCTGCAGTACCTGCTGCAGTTCTCAAGAAACCTGTGGAGGCCGAGAGCGTGGAGGGTGTCGTCCGCATTCTGCTGGAGCATTATTATAAGGTACACTATCTCGGACAAACTCACACTCACAACCCGTTTGTTTTTGCTCAGTCGGGTCTGACACACACGGAAACCTGTCACCGTGACCGGCCGGGTGTCTGACACACACGGAAACCCGTCACCGTGACCGGCCGGGTGTCTGACACACACGGAAACCCGTCACCGTGACCGCCGGGTGTCTGACACACACGAAACCCGTCACCGTGACCGGCCGGGTGTCTGACACACACGGAAACCGTCACCGTGACCAGCCGGGGGTCTGACACACACGGAAACCCGTCACCGTGACCACCCGGGGGTCTGACACACACGGAAACCCGTCACCGTGACCGGCCGGGTGTCTGACACACACGGAAACCCGTCACCGTGACCGGCCGGGTGTCTGACACACACGGAAACCCGTGACCGGCCGGGTGTCTGACACACACGGAAACCCGTCACCGTGACCGGCCGGGTGTCTGACACACACGGAAACCCGTCACCGTGACCGGCCGGGTGTCTGTCACACACGGAAACCCGTCACCGTGACCGTCCGGGTGTCTGACACACATGGAAACCCGTCACCGTGACCGGCCGGGTGTCTGACACACACGGAAACCCGTCACCGTGACCGGCCGGGTGTCTGACACACACGGAAACCCGTCACCGTGACCGGCCGGGTGTCTGACACACACGGAAACCCGTCACCGTGACCGGCCGGGTGTCTGACACACACGGAAACCCGTCACCGTGACCGGCCGCGTGTCTGACACACACGGAAACCCGTCACCGTGACCGGTCGGGTGTCTGTCACACACGGAAACCCGTCACCGTGACCGGCCGGGTGTGTGTCACACACGGAAACCCGTCACCGTGACCGGTCGGGTGTCTGTCACACACGGAAACCCGACACTATGCTTAACAGTATCTAAACCAAGCTGAGATTTCCATGCATCCCACCTACATAGTTTAGATGAGGGCAGGGAATCCTCCCACTCAGCTCCTAGGACCCAGCTGGACAAGCAGCGGGAAATCTTTCAGACAGCAATATCAATGGCAAACTGTGTGTTTTTTGTTGGTTAGACCTCAGCAGTTACCCCAACACACACTCTGGTCCCCTGAGCCTTGGTTCTCACCAACCTGCGCCTAATTCTCTTCGGAATTAGGTCAGCAGGATGCATTCCTCCAACGATAGAGAGAGAGGGGGGGGGAGAGAGAGAGAGGGGGGTGGGGGGAAAGGGGGGAAGGGGGAGAGAGAGGGTGGTGGGGAGAGAGAGAGAGAGAGCGCCTTCCATTCCAACAATCTATCTCTGGGATTTCCGTGTGTGGGTGGATGTGGGGGATTCTCAGTTTGGTTTGAATAGTGTTCAGCACAGTGATGGCTGCCAAAAACACTCACTTTTTAATGCTCAAATCCCTTCATTCCCTGGCACCTCCCTCCCTCCCTTCCCAACCTCCTCCTTCCCTCTCCTCCCTCCTCCCTCCCTTCCCAACCTCCTCCCTCCCTCACTCCCTCTCTCTCCGACCTCCTCCCTCTCCAACCCCCTCACTCGCTCCCTCCCTCTTCGACCGCCTCCCTCTCTTTCCAACCCCTTCACTCACTTCTCTCCAATCTCCTCCCTCCCTCTCCAACTTCCTCACTCCCCAATCCACCACCCGGTCAGTGCCTCCGCTCAACCTGGCGCATCCCCCCACCCACCATCGGAGGTCGCTCTTTAAGCCACTAGGCCCCAAAACTCAGGAACGCTCTCCCCCAATCCCCCGCCTCGCCCCCTCTATCCACCTTGTCAAATCCAGCCTGAAAACCTTCCTCTTCAACCGTTTTTACGGCCACCTCCCCCTTCCCCCGGCTCAGAGTCAGGCTCCACCACTGTTAAGCGCTCCGAGACGCTGCCCTGTGTGGAGGGAGCTATGCAAGTGCAAGTTGTTGTTGTTATGTTTGTCTGGTTTTGCTGGCAGGAGAACGAGAGTTCGGTCAGACTGAAGATCGCCTCCCTGATCGGCCTCCTGTCTAAAACTCCCGGCTTCGCAGCCGACAGCATTGTGGATGAGGTCATCATAGCCCTCAGCAATGAGAGTAAGTTTAGGGAGAAAAACGGAGCCTGGCATCACATCGACCATAGACTGGGGCTCGCTCCCCCACTGGAGCTCTCTACTCTAACCCCATTCCCTGCTCTCTCTCTCTCTCTCTCCCCATGGTGTCTGTGCTGGGGCTCGCTCCCCCACTGGAACTCTCTACTCTAACCCCATTCCCTGCTCTCTCTCTCTCTCTCCCCATGGTGTCTGTGCTGGGGCTCACTCCCCCACTGGAACTCTCTACTCTAACCCCATTCCCTGCTCTCTCTCTCTCTCTCTCTCTCTCCCCATGGTGTCTGTGCTGGGGCTCGCTCCCCCACTGGAACTCTCTACTCTAACCCCATTCCCTGCTCTCTCTCTCTCTCTCTCTCTCTCTCTCCCCATTGTGTCTGTGCTGGGGCTCGCTCCCCCGCTGGAACTCTCTACTCTAACCCCATTCCCTGCTCTCTCTCTCTCTCTCTCTCTCTCTCCCCATGGTGTCTGTGCTGGGGCTCGCTCCCTCACTGGAACTCTCTACTCTAACCTCATTCCCTACTCTCTCTCTCCCCATGGTGTCTGTGCTGGGACTCGCTCCCCCGCTGGAACTCTCTACTCTAACCCCATTCCCTGCTCTCTCTCTCTCTCCCTATGGTGTCTGTGCTGGGGCTCGCTCCCCCACTGGAACTCTCTACTCTAACCCCATTCCCTGCTCTCTCTCTCTCTCTCTCTCTCCCCATGGTGTCTGTGCTGGGGCTCGCTCCCCCACTGGAACTCTCTACTCTAACCCCATTCCCTGCTCTCTCTCTCCCCATCATGTCTGTGCTGGGCCTCGCTCCCCCACTGGAACTCTCTACTCTAACCCCATTCTTTGCTCTCCCTCTTTTATATTGTGCCTCTTCAAGTACTTAATTTAAGGCGCTGTATGAGTGTAAATTGAATTGTAGCCATAGTTTTTGGCCAAATAACCTATTTCCGTGCTATTTAATTCTGTGTAACATTTCATAGCGTAGTCTTGGGTTTGTTGGTTGTATCTGGGCTGTTGCTGATTCCCTATATTATTCCCTGCAGAGTCTCACCAGGTCCTCGCACAGTTAGTGGACGCTCTCCTGGTCATCGGGAAACAGCTCCAAGAAAACCTGCCTGTCTCTTATCGACTGGTTGAGATCGCCTGTAAGGTAGGGCTGTCTAATGCTTGGGAGTGAGGGCGGGTGGTGGGGGGGAGGTCAGGGGTTATTCCATGTCCCAGTCGGCCCATTCAGGTCAGATGTGAAAATTCTGCAGAGCTTTTGGGAAAGCAAAAGAAGTGTCTCTGATCTCATTGTAACCTGAACACTTGGGCAATGAACCTGCAGCTGACTAGCCAGCTTCCTAAGCTGCTCTGTGTGCTTTGGAGTCCTTTAGCTCAGTAGTTAGAGCACTCGCCTCACAAGCGAGAGGATCTGGGTTTGATTCCCGGGCAGGAGAGCGAAACATTGGGCACAATATTGCTCCACACACCTCTGTTTACCAGCAATAAGTAGGGACCCGGTTGTTAATCGATTGGCGGATCGCTTTTCCGGGGGTGATAATTCCTTCAAAAAATAATAATAATAATTTGGTCACTCAATCCCCGACTGTTTGTGGGGACACTGCTGTGCACAATTGGCTGCCATGTTTCGTTCACAAAATATACAGTCAACTCACTTTACAGTACATTCTGTGAAGCGCTTTGAGACGTCTCGAAGACCTGATAAGGCGCTGTATGAAATGCAAGGATTATTATTATTATAATGGGTGATGTAGCACCTTGTAAAATGGCTGATCCTCAGCTGTAACCTCCCTCATGTTTGTTAGCACCTGACGGACACGTCTCATGTAGTGAGGAACAAGTGCCTGGAGCTGGTGGGCTGTTTGGGTTTACTGGAGAAGCCAGTGGGAAAGAGATGGAAAACCTGGCAGCCAGGGACGTTCAGAAGATCATCACCGATTACTTCACTGACCAGGACCCTCGTGTTCGCACCGCAGCCATGAAGGCAATGGTAAGTCCCGCAGCGTAGTGGGTAAAGCGCTCGCCACGTAAGCGAGTGGGTTTGATTCCCGGTCGGGGGGGAATCTCTAGGCAAGTTTCCTTACTCCGCACCCGCGCCTCTATTTACCTCACAGTAAGTAGGAACCCACTTGTTTAGTTGATTGTCGGATTGCTTTCTGGGGTAATTTTGCTGAATTTCAGCCACAAAATACACAGTCAATCCACTTTACAGTATATCCTGAAAGATGCTTTGAGACATCTGAACGATGTGATAACGCGCTACATCAAATTATTATTATTATTCCCCTTCCATTTATTCCAGGAATCTTCCAGCGCTGAAGGAGGCCATCCGGTCCAGCGTGCCTGTGGCAGCTCTCTGGCAACAACAACAACAGCTTGCATTTATATAACGCCCTCACACGGGGGTAGCGACCCAGAGCAATGCTCCGAGACGTTCCCCTGACTGAAGGGCGCTGAGCAAATGCAGGTCGTTGTAATTGTTGAAAGAACTGTTTAGCACCATTCGCTCGCAAAACATACAGTCAATTCAATTTACAGTATATTCTGTGAAACACTTTCGAAGTCTCGACATCAGAGACGTCTCGAAGACGTGATCTCAGAGCGCTTAACAATGGCAAAGTTTGACGCCAGGCTGGGAGAAAGGGACGTGACAGGAGCCACGGTTAAAGAGGAAATGTCAAACACACACACACTAGGATCGGAAGGGCTATATCAACTACAAGATTATTATCATTATTATTATTCCCCTGTGTTTTCCTTTGCAAATATTTGTTCCGATTCCTTTTCAGTGGTTATTGTAGATTCTGTTTTTAACCAGCCCTTCCGATCCTAGTGTGTGTGCGTTTGACACTTCCTCTATAACCGTGGCTCCTGTCACCTCCCTTTTCTCCCAGCCTGGCGTCAAACTTTGCCTTTGTTAAGCGCTCTGAGACGCTACCTGGTGAAGGGCACTGTATGAATGTAAGCTGGTGTTGTGTGTAAACAATTCTAACCCCTCACTGGGTTTTTAATGACCTCGACAGATGACGTTTAATGTGGAGAAATACAAAGTGATGCATTTTGTGAGGAAGAATGAGGAGAGGCGATATAAACTGATGGTACAGTCTTAAAGGGGGTGAAGGAACAGAGAGACCTGGGGGTCATATAGTAAATCTCTGAAGGTGGCAGGACAGGCAGATAAAGCTGTTAAAAATAATCTAATAATCCCTCCAAAACCAAAAACAATAATAAATTGGTCATTTTCGATCTACGACTGTTTGTGGGACATTGCTGTGCGCAATTGGCTGCCGCGTTCGCCCACAAATATACAGTCAATTAACTTTACAGTGTGTTCTGTGAAGCGCTTTGGGACGTCCTCCCGACGTGAAAAGCGCTATATCAAATGCAAGGATTATTATTATTATTATAAAAAAGCATCCGGGATACTGGGCTTTATAAATAGGGCCATAGAATACACAAGTCAGGAAGTTATGATGAACCTTTATATAAAACACTGGTTGGGCCTCAGCGAGAGACTGGGTTCAGTTCTGGGCCCCACACTTTAGGAAGGATGTCAAGGCATTGGAGAGGGTGCGAAGGGGATTGACCAGAATGGTACCAGGAATGAGGGCCTTCAGTTATCAGGAGAGGCCGGAGAGGCCAGGATTGTCCTCCTCGGGCAGAGAAGGTTAAGAGAAGATTTAATAAAAGTTTTCAAAATGATGAGGGGATATGATAGGGTGAACAGGAGAAACTTTTCCCACTGGCGGGTGGGTCGGTAACCCGAGGACACCGGTTTAAATTAGTTGTTAAAAGAAACAGAGGGGAGGGGAGGAGAAATATTTTCACACAGTGAGTTGTTGGGATCTGGAATGCGTTGCCTGAAAGGCTGGAGGAAGGAGATTAGATAACAACTTTGGAGAGAGAAGCAGATAATTATTTGGGGAGGAAAAGTTTGCAGAGCTATGGGGAGAGAGCGGGGGGAGTGGGCTTGATCAGGGCTATGGGGAGAGAGTGGGGGAGTGGGGTTCATCAGGGCTATGGGGAGAGAGGGGGAGTGAGGTTGATCAGGGCTATGGGGAGAGAGCGGGGGAGTGGGGTTGATCAGGGCTATGGGGAGAGAGTGGGGGAGTGGGGTTGATCAGGGCTATGGGGAGAGAGTGGGGGAGTGGGGTTGATCAGGGCTATGGGGAGAGTGGGGGGTGGGGTTGATTTGGAAGCTCTTTTCAAAGAGTGGCACAGACACAATGGCCGAATGGCTCCTTCTGTGCTGTATAATTCTATGATGCTATGATCTTAAATCGATGCTCTCTTACCGACTCACTGACGAGAGAAAATAGTTTCTCTCTATTTACCTCATCAAAAACCCTTCTACTTTTGTCAGACTCCTCTCAATCCGAGTCCCATAGCATGTAGTTAGAGCACTCGTCTCGCAAGCATCAGGATCCAGGTTTGATTCCCTTAAGCAAGTTTTCTTACTCCACACGCCTCTGTCTACATGGCAGTAAGTAGGAACCCGGTTGTTAGTCGATTCCTTACCCCAGAAAGCGCTCCGCCAATCGACTAACCACTGATTTCCTACTTATTGCTGGGTAAACAGAGCCATGGTGAGAGTAAAGTGCTTTGAGAGGTTTTGATGCGACATAGAATCAGAGTTCCTTTTTTCTTACTATCTTGATCTTTGTACTTTTATCCCAGTTGCAGTTGCACGAGCGAGGAATGAGGTTACAGCAGACAATCTACTGCCAGGTAAGAGTGGCGAAGTGACCAACAATAATAACTTGTATTTATATAGCGTCCTTTACGTGGGGTAGCGTCCTGGGGCGCTTCCACAGCCCAGCTAGCAAAATCACTCTGTTACGTTTGAGATCTAAGTCTCTTTCCCACTGTGTCTAAAAATACAACTTGCACAAGAGCTGTAACAAAAAAAAGGTTTATTTTAAGAATCAAGCCTGATTGCAGTCCACCTCCTTTACACGTAGGTCGAGCCCCCAGTCACTGCCCCATATCAGACAAACGGAAATTTCCTTACACAGTTGGAATTCTTGGTAGTTTGATTTGGAGACTCTCCAGTGTGGCCGTGACATTTCTGCACGTGTCGGGCATCAACTGGACCGATGAGAAGCAAATGGTGTCCCCCTCTCAATACTGCACTCCAGCACAGTACCAGGGGAGGGAGGAGGGGGGGCGCTGTGTTGATGGAGTACATGGCTAGTCCTTTGGATAATAATAATATTCCTGGCATTTGATATAGCAGCTTATCACGTCTTTGAGACGTCGCAAAGCGTTTCACAGGATACACTGCAAAGTTCAGTGACTGTTTTGGTGGTGAAACAGGGCAGCCAATTTTTGCACAGTGTATTTTGTCACCCGGAGGTCTGACACGTGCGGAAACTGTGATTAAGAGTATCCAAACCAAACAGAATTCTGTGCATCCCACCTGCACATGGAAATCCCAGAGATGGATAGAGTGGAATACACTCTCTTCCTGGAGGGACTCATCCTGCTTACTTAATTCCGGGGAGTATTAGGCGCAGTTTGATAAGAGCCAAGGCTTGGGTGTAGCCCAGAGTGTGGAGTATAACCAGCTACAGTGAGGTCTCTCAAACAGTGTGTTTTTGGGTTCCATTTTTGAACACCATCATCGTGGCTCTAATGTTCTGTGTTGTGTTTGTCTGTAAGGTTTGCCAGGCACTGTCTGATGATTATGAGCAGGTGCGGTCTGTGGCAGTGCAGCTTGTGTGGGTCCTGAGTCAGCTGTACCCTGACAGGTGAGCAGTGGAGGTTTGAACAATAACAACATGATCATTTTCTAGGGGAAGGAAGACCAAGGTCTATCTAGTTGGCCTTCCACCATCCTGGAGTCACTTGATACGTCGTGTTCCAAACGCGTATCCCACTGTATCCCACGGGTCCTGAAGCTTAGAGCACTGGCCTCGCAAGCGTGTTTCTGGCTTTGATTCCCAGCAGGGCGAAACCTTGGGCAGGTTTCCTTTCTCCACACACCTGATAATAATCCCTCAAGAAAAAAAAATCCACGAGTGTTTGTGGGACACTGTTGTGCGCAATCAGCTGCCGTGTTTCACCCATAAATATACAGTCAATTCACTTTACAGTATATTCTGTGAAGCGTTTTGAGACGTCGAGAAGACGTGATAAGGCACTATATGAAATGCAAGATTATTATTGTTATTATATTTTCTAGCAGAAATCTATCTCATTTGTTCTTGAAACAAATGACATTTTCTGCTTCCACCATCTCCCAAGGGAGCATGTCCCATATGTTTACCACTCACTCAGTGAAGCAGTGTTTCCACAGATTTCATAGAGTTATACAGTACAGAAGGAGGCCATTCGGCCCATACTGTCTGTGCTGCTCTTGAAAAGAGCTTCCAAATGAACCCCACTTCTCCCCATAGCCTGATCAACCCCACCCCCGCCTCTCCCCATAGCCCTGATCAACCCCACTCCCCCACTCTCTCCCCATAGCCCTGATCAACCCCATCCCCCGCTCTCTCCCCATAGCCCTGATCAACCCCACTCCCCCGCTCTCTCCCCATAGCCCTGATCAACCCCACTCCCCGCTCTCTCCCCATAGCCCTGATCAACCCACTCCCCGCTCTCTCCCCATAGCCCTGATCAACCCCACTCCCCGCTCTCTCCCATAGCCCTGATCAACCCCACTCCCCCGCTCTCTCCCCATAGCCCTGATCAACCCACTCCCCCACTCTCCCATATCCCTGCAAACTTGTCCTCCCCAAATAATTATCTGCTTCTCTCTTAAAAGTTATTATCTAATCGCTTCCCCCAGCCTTTCACACAATGCATTCCAGATCCCGACAACGCGCTGTGTAAAAAAATTTCTCCTCTGCTTCTTTTAACCTCATTTTAAATCGGTGTCCTCGGGTTACCGACCCACCCGCCAGTGGAATAGTTTCTCCTTGTTCACCCTTTTGAATCCCCTCATAATTTTGAAAACTTCTATTAAGTCTCCTCTTAACTTTCTCTGCTCCAAGCAGAATTTCTTCTGAATTTACTTCATTCGAAGACCATTTCCTCTGGTTCTACTGTTCAGGCAAGATAAAACAGCTTTCATGGTCTACATTATCTATTCCCTTCAGAATCTTAAAGACCGCAATCATATCACCCTCAACGTTCTCTTCTCCAGTGTGAATCTGCCCAGTTTATCTAATTGCTCCTCATAGTCCAGCCCCTCCCTCCCCTCAATCATGTTGGTTGCTCTCCTCTGTATCTTCTATCCACAATGTCAAAACGTAATATCCCCAACTCACTCCGTCCAACTTCCCAGACCAACTCCTTCAAAGTTTCTGTCTCGCTCTCAGTAGCCCATAATCCTTCCAGTTGGCAGGATCGTATGACCAACAAGGGGCTGCAATACAAAGGTGATCAAATGATGCCTCAGTCATACAGAGCCTTGGTCAAACTCCCATCTGGAGACTGTGTTCAGTGTTCCTGTGGGCACCGCACCTCAGGAAGGATATATTGACTCTGGAGGGGATGCAGCTCAGATTCACCAGAATGAGACCAGGGCTTAAAGGGTTACATTTTGAGAACATATCAACCAAAGCTGTGGTCAAAGAGCTAGGTCTTGAGACGAACCTTGAACGAGGGAAGGAGGGAGTCAGAGGGACTCCGTGATGGAGCTCCAGAGCGCAGAGTGCAGGAGGTCCGACTGACAAGTGGGGTTGTCTGACTGGGATTCCAGGCACAACCAGCAAATATGGAACTGGAAGCCAGTGAGAGGACGCTGGGGAGCAGGAACAGACATTAGACGAGTGAAAAAAAAATCCCTTTTAGGCAGTATATCAATGGCAACAATAAAAACTGACATTTACAGAGCGGGAGGACATCCTAAGGCACTGGTTGTCCGGGATTTGGACCTCAGCTGGGGGTTGGGATCAGGACGGGTGGAGGGCAGGGAGGGTGGGGGTATGAGGGTGACGAAGACGCGGTCGAAGAGGAGGGTCTTGAAACAGGTCTTGAAGGAGGCGAGGGAGGAAACGAGGCAGAGAGGTTGTGGGATGGAGTTCCAGAGCGTGGGGACAGCGAGGCTGAAGGCCTGACCGCCGATGGTGGGTGAGCCAGGCGGGAGGTGTGGAGCAGGCCGGAGCCCGCTGAGTGGAGGGAGTGGACAAGCATCAGGACTCCAAATTAACCCTGAGTATCTGTGTCTCAGCATCGTCCCCATTCCCTCCTCCAACGAGGAAATCCGGCTAGTGGACGACACTTTCGGAAAGGTTTGTCACCTGGTGAACGATGGGTCCTGGTTGGTCCGAGTACAGGCTGCTAAACTACTGGTAAGATTCGTCCTTCATCCAAGCTTAAGCGCCTTAGGACACCCTCCTGATGAAAAAGGCCCTGTGTGAATGTTAATGATGTATTGTTTTGTCTTTGTGTGCCTTTGCCAGTGAGTGTGGGCAGACACTTGTACAGCTAGGAGAGGGCACTGTAGAGGGACCAGGAGCTGGAGCCTCGGCTGGTTTTGCCCTCTACAATTCAGATAAATGCCCCCCCCACCACCCTCCAACGCACACAAGCACACACCACCTGTAGCTCAGTGGTTGGAGCACTCATCTTGCAAGCGAGAGGACCCAGGTTCGATTCCCGGGCAGGGTGAAACCTTAGGCAAGTTTCCTTCCTCATGCCTCTGTTTACCAGCAGTCAGTAGGAACCTGGTTGTTAGTTGATCGATGGATCGCTTTTCCAGTGATAATTATTCCTTCAAAAAAAAATTGGTCACTCCATCCACAACTGTTTGTGGGATACTCACTGCTGTGCACAATTGGCTGCTGCGTTTCACCCACAAAATATACAGTCAATTCACTTTACAGTGTAGCTGTGAAGGGCTTTGAGACGTCTCGAAGACGTGATCAGGCGCTGTAATGCCTCAAATGCCAGGATTATTATGACTGCGAGCCTTGTTGTGCGTTGATTGTTTACCTCTTTGGTCTATAAAGTTCACAGTCGCTATATAAATCACTGCATCGGATGTAAAAAACTTACATAAATCCTATCATTCTGGACCATAACATTTAATATGACATACGTGAAGGTCTGAGTTGCGGGCAAACTGTATACGTCGTACAAAATCCAATTTAATTAATAATCTGCGCTGCTCAGGCGTAATTCACTGCGGCCGGTAAGTGCACATGTGGTGACTGGTTAACGCTGCGTTTCCCATGATTCAAAGGTACTTGTCCCGTCACCACATGTGCACTTACCGGTAGGGGTTGGAGTCACATTGAATCGCGGGAAGTTCTGCTGCTCATGCGTTGACGGGTGAATGTTTCCCGCATTGAAGACAGCTGGCAAGTGCGGAGTAATGGGAGGGTAGGGCAGCAGAGTTACGAGTTAGGAGGTAATTAATATGAATGGTGTAAAGAAATCTTAAACAGATGTCGCTGGGAACACTCAGCAGGTCAGGCATCATCTATGGAGAAAGGAAAGTGAGTCAACGTTTCCACACATACGCCTCTGTTTACCAGCAATCAGTAGGAACCTGGTCATTAGTCAATGGCAGATCACTTTACCGGGGGGTAATAATTCCTTCAAAAAAGATTTGGTCACCAATCCACGACTGTTTGTGGGACTCTCACTGCTGTGCTCAATTGGCTGCCGTGTTTCACTCAGAATATACACTGTCAATTCACTTTACAGTATACTATAAGCTAACGTTTAAGTTTGATACAGTTAGCGCTATATCAAACGCAAGGATTATTCTATATTATTAATAATATTATTATTGCGTTTGTGGGAATTTATATAAAAGGAACCCGTGAAGAGAGGAACCCAATCACTTGTATTTTAATAATAATCCTTGCATTTGATGCAGGGCCTTATCACATCTCAAAGCGCTTCACAGAATAGAGTGTAAAGTGGGAGCACAAACACTAGTCGCTGGGAACACTCAGCAGGTCAGGCCAGCATCTATGGAGAAAGGAAAGTGAGTCAACGTTTCAGGTCCACGACTTTCCTTTATCCATAGATGCTGCCTGACCTGCTGAGTGTTCCCACCGACGTCTGTTATTATTCCAGATTTCCAGCATCGGCAGTATTTTATGTTTTGTAAAGAAATCTTAAGTGGTTTTGATTGGAACCTGATGGGGACTGGGGTGAATGTACGACTTAGGCGATTGCACGATTTATAAAGATACGACTGACACCAACTGCACTGTGTTACCATCCCCTGTTTGTATTCGTCAGGGATCCATGAACCAGGTCAGTGTGCAGTTCCTGGAGCAGACTCTCGACAAGAAACTGATGTCCGACCTGAAGGTAAGATCACACCATGCGGGGGGGCGGGGTGGGGGGGGGTGTGGGGGCTGACGCTCTGTGGGGAGGCTCACTGAGTCAGGCAGAGAGAAGGGGGCGTGGAGGGGAGATAGAGGATGGGGACCAAACCAACAACAACTTTGTTGAGTCCCGTAGCATAGCGGTTTAGCACGCTTGCCTCGCCAGCCAGAGGGCTCGGGTTTGACTTAATGTTATATATATATATCGCTTTCACACAGCACTCTTCATGTGGGGTAACGTCTCAGAGCACTGACCAAGGTGTTCGGGGTTTTAGACAGGAGAGCGTGACTGAGCCGAGCTGATGTGGCAGAGCTTGAGGAAAGTCTTCGGGTGCGATCAGAAGTTAGACACCATCTGACCGGGGGAGCGAGGTGTTTTTGCTTGGTCAGCCAGGTGTCTGATGCACGCAGAAACCCATCACCAAGATTAGAATTCCACGCATCCCACCTACACCTGGAAATCCCAGAGATAGATTGTCGGAATGGAAGGCGCTCTCTCTCTCTCTCCCCCTCCCCCTGGAGGGAGGCATCCGGTTTACCTAATTCCGGAGAGTATTAGGCGCAGGTTGGGTGAGAGCCAAGGCTTGAGGGGAGCCCAGTGTGTGTGTTGGGGTAACTGCTGGGGTCTAACCAGCTAAACCACATTGTCTGGCTAGCTTTCCCGCTGCTTGTCCAGCGAGGTCCACCCTCTTCGTTCGTTCGTTCGTTCATTCATTGTATGGAAGTACGTACTTACTTTGGCTGCAGGGTTAGCAGAGGTGCTAACAGAGGTTTGGGGTTATAGACAGGAGAGTGTGACTGAGCCGAGCTGATGTAGTTGGGGGTGGGGGAGAGGGGGGACATGGTTACCACTTCCCTGACAGCCGAGCAGAGACTGACCGTCTCTCTCTCTCCCTTGTGTGAGCCCAGAGGAAGCGCAGTGCCCATGAGCGAGCCAAGGAGCTGTACACGTCGGGCGAGTTCTCAAGTGGCCGCAAATGGGGGGATGACGCCCCGAAGGAGCCGGTCAACACTTATACCGTCAATCTCATCAACTCGGGGGCCTGCGGGGCCTTCGTGCACGGGCTGGAGGACGAGATGTACGGTAAGTGGCTTCAGAGACTATGTTACAAGTCACGTTGGCTGACGAGGATGATTCAAAATCCTGTAGGGTAGTGGTTAGCAAGCGAGAGGAACTGGTTCCATTCCTGGCTTGGGGCGAAATCCTAGGCAAGTTTCCTTACTCCACACTCACACACGCCTCTGTTCTAGCAATAAGTAGAAACTCGTTTGTTTGTCGATTGGCTAATCGCTTTCCGGGGTGGTGGTCTGTGTGTCAGCCTGGCTCGGTGGCACTCTCTCGCCTCTGAGTCTTGAAGTTCAAGCCCTCACATCGGGACTTGGCATCACGCAGTCCAAGCTGACGCTCCAATGCAGTGCTACATTGTCGCATTGTCGGATGAGATGTTAAACTGAGGTCCTGACAGCCTGTTCAGGTATCCTGGCCAACAATCCCCTAAATTAAAATTGGTCACTCACACCACGAATGTGTGTGGGACACTGCTGTGCGCAACTGGCTGCCGTGTTTTTGAGCACAAAATGTACAGTCACTACATTTACAGTATACCCTGTGAAGCACTTTGCGACATCTCAGTGACGTGATAAGGCTCGATATCAAATGCAGGGATTATTATTGTTATATGGAGGTTGCAGGTTATTAATATCAGGACAGACTGGACAGGTTGAGCCTTTTTTTTAGCTCGAGAACAGACGTTTAAAGGGGGGAAACCTAATAGAAGTGTTTAATATGATAACGTTAACATAGCCAGGCAGTTTCCCTGATTGGGGAGTCTGTAACCAGGAACACAAGTATGATAATGACTAGAGGGTCGAAAACGGAATTTAGGAGGAACAAGTTCATGCAGAAGGCAGTGAATAGAGGCATTTGCTGCTGAGGCGGTCATGGAGGAGATAGAGGAAGCTAGACCTTCAGGTGAGGGAGAAGGGAACAGAGGGTGTGGGAGGGAGTAAGGAACTACTGGAGACTCGTGAGGAATATAAATACCGACACGGACTGGTTGGGCTGAGTGGCCTGTTTCAATGCTGTACATTCTTTGTAATGTTTGACTGTACAACATGCCAAGTCAAGTCAGGACTATGCGTGTGAGCAGTGGTGTGAATGAGGCTGTGTGTATGAGCAGTGTGTATGAGGCTTTGAAGGTGAGGACCAGGTTCTTGAACTGTATCCTCTGTGTGATGGGAAGCCAGCGGAGTCGGGCGAGGATGGGGGTAATGGGGTCGGGGAGCCTGGTGGGGGTGAGGATGGGGTGGGGGAGCCTGGTGGGAATGAGGATGGGGTGATGGGGTTGGGGAGCCTGGTGGGGGTGAGGATGGGGGTGATGGGGTGGGGGAGCCTGGTGGGGGTGAGGATGGGGGTGATGGGGTGGGGGAGCCTGGTGGGGGTGAGGATGGGGTGATGGGGTCGGGGAGCCTGGTGGGGGTGAGGATGGGGGTGATGGGGTGGGGGAGCCTGGTGGGGTGAGGATGGGGGTGATGGGGTGGGGGAGCCTGGTGGGGGTGAGGATGGGGGTGATGGGGTGGGGGAGAGGTTAGTTCTGGATGATGTGCAGCCTATGGAGGGAGGAGTTGGGGGGCGACAAGCAGGGAGTTGGTGTGGTGGAGTCTGGATGCAGGGAGTTGGTGTGGTGGAGTCTGGATGTAATGAAGGGGTGTGTGAGGGTCTCGGGGGCTGCGGTGGGAGACAGTGGCAGAGTCGGGCCATGTTGTGGAGGTGGGGAAGGCAGAGCGGGTCATGGCACGGATATGGGTAGAAAGGACAGTTGAGGGTCAAACAAGCCAAGAGAATGAAGCGCTTTGAGAAGTTGTGCTATATGAACGACATTATATAAAAGAAAGTAACTGTTGAACAAATAAGTTTTAAAAGTAATGAAAAGTTAATTTTGAACTTTTGCTCATAGATTTATATTCTATATAAATAGATTTGTTTCAGCATATTGAAAACATCGTTTAAATTTGCCAGAATCTATTTCATACATTAACCCTGAACATAACTATTTTCACAGAAAATAAATTTTCTCAAGAGTATGGCATTATCCATATTTGTTGGAAAAGAGGTGTCTGTAAGTGTAGCTCCAGTACTCTGGTAATCCTGTAGCTCAGTGGTTAGAGCACTCGCTTTGCGAGCGAGAGACCTGAGTTCAATCCCCGGCAGATCAGGGCGAAACCTTGGGCAAGTTTCCTTACTCCACACAGAGCCTAATAATAATCCCTCAACGAAAGAAAATAAAATAATAATTTGGTCACTTCAATCCATGGCTGTTTGTGGAACACTGCTGTGTGCAATTGACTGCCGCGTTTCGCCCACAAAGTATACAGTCACTACACTTTACACTATATTCTGTGAAGCGCTTTGAGACGTCTTGAAGACATGAAAAGTGCTATATAAAATGCAAGGATTATTATTATTATTAATAGTCAGAATGTATCTAATACTTAAAGGATGGGACAGGACATCAACAACAACAAATTGCATTTACACAACAGAGGGAGCGGGAAGGTTGATATGATGTTAATAGGTTGCAGAGGAAGGAGGGCTTTAAAAAGTCAGGACGGGATTATTAAACTTATTCATCCGGCGAATGGAGAGTCAGTGAAGTCGGGCGAGGATGGGGTGATCGGCTCACAGAGCTTGGAGCAACATCATAAAAATATGGGATATGTAGACAGGAATTTAAATTCTAGTTTCATTAGCGTTTGTGTTTGAGCTTTCCCCAAGGGAACAAATTGTCAGTTTCAATTGCATCACTTGGTGCAAGAAGGCGAAGGAACGCTGTTGGGGAGGATTGCTTCCTCTACTGTTCAAGAAAGCTTCATGGACCTGGAGCAGAATAAAGCAGATATTTAGAATGTGAATAGATTCTGAAAATAAAGACGGTAGAGCAATGCTCTGATTGAATTAGTGGCCTCATATCTTAAATTACACATACTTTTAAAAGCTTCAGTTTTCTTCCCTCCTCTCCTGGAAGCTCTGACATGTGTTGAGGTACAGTTCCCTGGACGCCAGCTGCCCTCCAGTACTTTAAATCGACATTCTCTATGTGTGGGCTCAGACACTGTGTGAGCCCAGACACTGTGTGATCCCAGACACTGTGTGAGCCCAGACACTGTGTGATCCCAGACACTGTGTGAGCCCAGACACTGTGTGATCCCAGACACTGTGTGAGCCCAGACACTGTGTGAGCCCAGACACTGTGTGATCCCAGACACTGTGTGAGCCCAGACACTGTGTGATCCCAGACACTGTGTGAGCTCAGACACTGTGTGAGCTCAGACACTGTGTGAGGTCAGAGCTCAGTATCGCCCTGTGTGTGTGAGCAGAGGTGCGGCTGGCTGCGGTGGAGTCTCTCTGTACGCTGGGCCAGGCCTCCGCCTCCTTCGCTGAGAAGTGCCTGGACTTCCTGGTGGACATGTTCAACGACGAGATTGAGGAGGTGCGTCTGGGCTCCATCCACGCCTTGCGCCACATCTCCAGCCACATCCGTCTGCGGGAGGACCAGCTGGACACCGTGCTCGCCGTCCTGGAGGTCAGTGTGTGTGTGTTTGTCTGGGTCTATCTGTCTGACTGTCTGTGTGTCTGTCGATCTGTGTGTGTGCGTGTTTGTGCATCTGTCTGTGGGTTCGCGTGTGTCTTCGTGTGTGTCTGTGTGTGTGTCTGTGTGGGTATGTGTGTGTGTTTATGTGAGTCTTGTCTGTGTCTGTATGGATTTGTGGGTGTTGGGAAGCCAGGCTGGAGGGGATTGAGGATGGGAGGGTGGGGGCTGGAGGGGATTGGGGTTGGGAGGGTGGGGGCTGGAGGGGATTGGGGTTGGGAGGGTGGGGGCTGGAGGGATTGGGGAGGGGAGGTGGGGCTGGAGAGGATTGGGGAGGTGGGGGCTTGAGAGGATTGGGAATGGGAGGGGCGGGGAGAGGATTGGGGAGGGGAGGGGATTGGGGAGGGGTTTGGGGAGGGGAGGGGATGGGGGGGGCGGGGATTGAGGAAGGGAGGGGGGGCTGGAGGGAGTGGGGGATGGGCATGTGTTGTTTGGTGCGGGTGAGGATATGTGTCTGTGACCTGCAGGATTCCTCCCGGGACATTCGTGAGGCCTTGCATGAGCTGCTGTGCTACACCAACGTGTCCACCAAGGACGGCATCCACCTGGCGCTTGTGGAGCTGCTGAAAAACCTGGCCAAGTATCCGACCGACAGGAATTCCATCTGGAAGTGAGTCTCAGCTCGGAGCAGTGGGGGGGGTCAATGTGATTTGTTCTAAAATCTTCTAACTTTGCTTTGCCAGAATAGGGTTCCAGGGATTTAATGCCTCTGTCATGGGAGGGGTAGTTTTGCCTACAAAATGCACAGTCACTACACCTGCCAGCAATACTGAAATCCTGTAGTGTAGTGGTTAGAGCACTCGCCTTGCAAGCGAGAGGATCGGGGTTCAATTCCCAAAACCTTAGACTAGTTTCCTTACTCCACAGGCTTCAGCAGCAATCAATAGGAACCCGGTTGTTAGTCGAATCGCGGATCACTTTCTGGGAGCAATAATCCCCTTAAAAATAATAATAATAATTTGATCACTTCACTCCATGACTGCCTGTGGGACACTCACTGCTGTGAGCAATTGGCTGCCGTGTTTCACCCAAAAAGATATACAGTCAATTCACTTTGCAGTATATTCTGTGAAACGCTTTGAGAAGTCTAGAAGACGTGATAAGGCTCTGCATCAAATGCCAGAATTATTGTCATTACTGTTATTGTTATTATTGTTATTGTTATAACTAGATAGAGAGCTATCTATCTGTTCAGCTGCTGTTGTCTTTGGGATGGTTTGCACCCTCGAGGAACCCGTGTTAATCGCTTCTCTCTCTCTCTCTTCCTCTCTCTCAAGATGCCTCAAGTACCTTGGGAGCCGGCACCCGACCCTGGTTCTCCCCCTCGTACCCGAGTTGCTGAGCACACACCCGTACTTCGATACTCCAGAGCCAGACATGGACGACCAGCCTGTATCCTTGCCGTGTCAGTCTGGCCTCAGCCTGGCTCACTGGGTGGGTTCCAGCCTCCACGTGGGGACTTTGAACTCACAGACAGACCAGGCTGACGCTCGCTGCAATGCAGTGCTGGTGGAGTTGTGGGGGGTGCCGGGGTGAGAGCGCTGCATTGCTGGAGTTGCCATCTTGCGGATTGTGCAGTACTGCAGCTCGGGTTTCCGCGCTTGCCTTGCAAGCGAGAGGACCTGGGTTCAATTCCCAGACAGGTCAGGGTGAAACCTTAGGCAAGTTTCCTAACTCCGCACACACAGGCCTCTGGTTACCAGCGGTCAGTAGGGACCCAGTTGTTGGTCGATTGGCGGATCGCTTTTCCGAGGATATTGATCACTCAACCCACGGCTGTTTGTGGGACGCTGCTGTGCGCAATTGGCTGCCGCATTTCGCTCACAAAATATAGTCAGTTTACTTTACAGTATATTCTGTGAAGCACTTTGAGACGCCTCGAAGACATGATAAGACACTGCATCAAATGCAAAGATTGTTATTATTATTATTGTTGTGTCTCCAAACTCTACAGATGTCTGGTTTCCGTTTCTCTGAAATGAGGGTTGTCCCTCCCTCCCTCCCCGGCAGTTTGAAACTAACTCAGCACTAAAGAGACCACATTTGCTGCCGTCCTTTCACACACCCCTTCACCAACTGCTCCCAGGCGCATACACACTGGGTGGCCATTGGTGTGTGTACACTCACTCGTGGTAGTTTTATTAATAATAATCCTTGCATTTGACACAGCGCCTTATCAGATTTTTAGACGTCTCAAAGCGCTTCACAAATATACTGTGAATTGACTGTATTTTTTGTGGGCGAAATTGCGACAGCCAATTGCACACAGCAGTGAGTGTCCACAGACAGTCATGGATTGAAGTGACCAAATTTTTTTTGATGGAATCATTACCCCGGGAAAAGTGATTTGCCCAAACAACTGCTTGGTAAATAGAGGTCTGTTTGCGTGTGTGTAGCAGGGAAACATATCCAATGTTTCACTCTACTGCCCGGGAATCGAACCCAGGTCCTCTCGCTTGCGAGGCGAGTGCTCTAACCACTGAGCTACAGGACTCCATTTTATTTAATCTTGTTAGATGTTGCGTGCTTAACCTTGCTCAGATATCGCGGTGTTGGTGCTGGTGTTCAACGCAGCCAAGACTTGCCCCACCATGTCCGCGGCTCTTCTCCGACCACACGTTCGGCACTACGCCTACCTGCGGGACAGCCTCTCTCACCTGGTGCCCCCGCTGCAGGTCAGTGAGGGCCGCGCAGCTCATTCTATTTAACCCTCCCCTGACTTTCACCCCAGGTGCCTGGCGTTCTTGGAAGCCAACAACTTGTATTTATATAGCGCTCTTAATATGGAATCCTGAGCCAAGGGGAGAGGGAGGGGGAGGTGACGTATGCATGATCAAAAAGGAAAGTCTTTAGGTGGGATTTGAAGTTGGGTAAGTGAGGGGGCAAGGCTGAGGGATTGAGGGAGAGAGTTCCAGAGTTTCAGGGACAAGAACAACATGGTCAGTGTACAAAGGCCTCTCATTAAGCTGAGCTCACAGTCCTGGCTGACACTCCAGCAGGAGAAGTGCTCAATGTCAGAGGCATCATTTGTAGAATCATAGAATATTACAGCACAAGGAGGCCCATCCATGCCTGTGCCGGCTCTTTGAAAGAGCACCAACTAATCCCCTCCCATGCTCTTACCCATAGCCCTGCACATTTTCATTTCCGTGGAACAGAATCGTAGAATCTTAACCCTAGTATCATCCCGTTCTTTGAGGAAGCTTTAAACACTAAGCTCCAGTGACTGGTTAACCTAGTGTCTAGTCACCCAATGATCGTTTGACTGTCCATTCGTGTAATCCTGAAGTTTTTATTCCATGTGCTTCCTGAGGGAATGTCATGCCCTTCCTGTTTCAGTGTTTGAATGTTGCTTTGTCCCTCACATTCCTCAGTTTGTCCTCCTGGGATTGTTTTGCAATGTCCGTGACCATCCATTTGACTTCTTGTCCTGATCAGTCATTCCTTACCACTCCTTTCTCTTCTGAAGCCCATCTAATCACTTAAACCACACACCAGCACCAAAAACTCTTGGCCCAGCTCCCAGTGCTTGTTAATATAGCTCCCAAAATAGCTAGTGAGTGGCCTGGATGAGATTTATCCTGTTTGAAGAAAAAATTAGGTTGTGTTCAATGTGTGGAGCATCTGGGAACAGCCATGCGTCAGTGGGGAGAGAGCCCCAGCACAGACACTATGGGGAGAGAGAGAGCAGGGAATAGGATTAGTGTAGAGAGCTCCAGTGGGGAGCGAGCCCCAGCACAGACACAATGAGGGGTTGAAAGCGCAGGGGAATGGGATTAGACCAGTACCTGGTGTCCAATAGCTCTCGTAACTCGCTGAGCATTCCTGCAGTGTGATTTGAGAACAGGGGCAGGTTAGCTAACTGCTGTGTTGGCCGGGGTTTAATAATCCAGTTTCTCTGCGGTTTCCTCCAGTTGCCGGGGAGAAAGACCTTGGTGTCGGATTCCAGCAGCCTGGCTCTGAGTGAGGACTCCTCTCGGCAGTTTGTACAGAAGAGCCTGGACCGAGTTCAAAGCATTCAGCACCTGGATGCACACGGGTCCCAGGACCTCCTGAAACTCACCACACGGTAGGCAAGAGGCATCTTCACCGCCCGCTAAACAACAAACCTTCTGGCCAACAACACCTTTCATTTCCGTGGTACCCTTCACATATGGTCATGTGGTGGAGCACTCAATATAATAATAATAATAATTCATAATAATAATAAAAGTATAATCCTTGCCTCATCACGTCGTTGAGACGTCTCAAAGTGCTTCCAGGTTAGACTATGATACCCTACCAACCTGTCCGCTTTGCCGCTCGGTGGGCACTGACTTACCCCTGCCCTGCCCACCCCACTATTGCCAGTCTGGCCTTCAGGTTTACTCTCCACCGTCTGCAACTCTGAGTCCCTCTGCCTTGTCCCTCCCGGGTCTCCTTCAAAGGCCATCTCAATACCTTCCTCTGTGACCGTGTCTTCGGCCCCACTCCCAACCCCCACTCCCACCCCCTCACTCACACCCCCCAGTCACACCCCCACTCCCACTCCCACACCCCCACTCCCATCCCCCCACTCCCATCCCCCACTACTCTCCAACCCTCTTGATTCCAATCCCCGGCTCGGTTGCAAACCTTTAACTATCCAGCACCTTGAACATCTTTCCAACGTGAAAGGCTGTTTCTCTATGTAATTTATTGTTGTAGACTGTAGACTGTAGTGACTGTGTGTTTTGTTGGCAAAACATGGTATCCGATTTATGCTCAGTGACTTACCGCAAACAGCCATGGAGGGAGTGATTTTATTTGGTGGATTGTTGTCCAGGGAGAGAGGGAGAAAATCCCTTCTCTTATCGACGAACGACGATTTTTAACGTCCCATTCGGCCCATCGTGTTGGCACAGACACGATGGCTCGTAGGGCCTCCTTCTGTGCTGTATAATTCTATGATCCTGAAGAGACGGTGACTTCAGACTTCAAGTGGCAATATCTCCCAGTACTAAGTTCTCTGAGACACCGTCTAGTGTGAAGGAAATACAAGTTGTTGGACTGTGGGGAAAGGACAGGTAAATGGGACTGAAAGGATCGCTCTTAAAAATCAACAACAACAACAACAACAAGATTCCATTTATTGAGCGCCTTTCACGTCGGGAGGACGTCTCAAAAATCAACAGATGCAATGGGCCAAATGGCCTTCCTCTGTGTTGTAAATGTAAATGTCAATGTAAATTTGCTGTAAATAAATAAGGGATTATTGTTAGTATCCCTTCAAAAATAACTAAATAAAATTGGTTACTCACTTTGAGGCCTTTTGTGGGACACTCACTGCTGAGTGCAATTGGCTGCTGCGATTCCTCCATAAAAGTCAATTCACTTTACGTGTATCTTTACGTGCGCTTTGAGACGTCTCAACGATGTGATCAGGCGCTGTACCAAATGCAAGGATTATTATTATTAAGAATGTATTCCATGTTGCCTTTCTCGCTCTCTCACACAGGGACTTGCAGAGACTGGGAGAGCTGCAGCCGGAGCTGGCAGGGATTGCTGAATTCTCTGCCACCTACCTGCAGTGCCAGCTCCTGCTCATGAAGGTGAGTGTGTTGGTTATCTCTGTATTGTCACCAGACCCCCTGCAAGTATTATTGTTGTTATTATTGTTAATATTATTGTTGTTATTGTTGCAGTATGTTATTATTGGTATTATTATTGGTATTGTTATTATTGTTGTTATTGTTATTATTGTTGTTGTTATTGTTGTTATTGTTATTGTCCTGAGCTGATCTTTCCCCACAGTCGCTACAGGAGAAGCTGTGGAACGTGGCAGCTCCGCTCTACCTGAAGCAGAACGCTATGGCGTCAGCCGCTGCCAAACAGGTGAGCCACAGATGCCCTGCCCCGCCCCGCCCCGCCCTGCCCTGCTCGCACAGTACCTGCTTCACTGGACCCCCTGCGAGGTCTTGTCTCGCTGCCTTCCCACAACTCGACCCTGGCTTAACTTGTCACTTCCACTTGATAGTAATAAGAATAATAATCCGTGCGTTTGATGTGGCTGTGTGTAATTGGCTGCTGTGTTTCTTTTACAAAATAGACAGTCACTACACTTTACAGCCTATCCTGTGAGGTGCTTTGAGACATGATGAGGCGCTGTATCAAATGCAAGGATTATTGTTGTTGTTATTGTAACAACGGAAAGGGGGCAGCGGGCGCTCACTGGGGGATTGGCAGGGATGAGAGGCTGAGAGTTTGGGTTTATTCACCAAAGCTGAGGGTGAGGGAGCGGAGGGCAAACAGAGAGAGGTTTACATTGGATCCGTTACCTCGTGCTTCCCACAGAGGCTTTGTCACTCATAATTTGCCCACAGGTCCTGATAGACCATCACTGCACTCCTCTCCCCCTAAATCCTGACACAGTGTCTGCTGTTTGCTCTACTCGTCCCTCGTCCCCTCCGCTCCACCATCAGACACCACGCCCCGAAGCTTTGGAACTCGCTCCCTCACACCCTCCGCCTTGCCCACTCCTTCCCCTCGTTTAGATCACACATGAAGACCTTGCTCTTCGCCTGTGCTCCCCCCGGCTCGGAGTCCAGCTTCGCCGCAGTGACTCACTTCGGGACAACGCTGTGTAATCTCAAGTTCTTGTGTGTCTGTTCCCTACGCCCAGCGGGCTTCGGCCTGCTCCACGTCCCCCGCCCCGCCCCGCCCAGCCCGGCCCAGCCCGGCCCACCCCACCCTCAGCGGTCAGGCCTTCAGCTTTTCTGCCCCCACCCTCTGGAACTGCTCCCTTCCCTTGCCATGTCCAAAGCCTGTTCAAGGCACTGTACAAATGCAATGTTGTTGTTTGAGACTCTCCTCCCCAATGGCGCCTTCGGTCATCCGTGCAATCCCCCCGTGCCCTCCACCCTCCTGACCCCGAACCCCAGCTCAGGTCCAAATCCCTGACTGTCCAGCGCCTCAGGACGTCCTCCTGATGTGCAAATGTCATTTGATTTTGTTCCTGTTGTTTGTCTCTCTGACGCTCCTCCACCCCGCCACCCCGTCCTGAATCTCTCTCTCTACCCCCCCCCCCATCCTGACTCTCTTCCCCCCCCCATCCTGACTTTCTCTCTCTCTCTACCCCTCCTATCCTGACTCTCTCTTTCTCTCTACCCCCCCCCCCCCCCCCGTCCTGACTTTCTCTCTACCCCCCCCACCCTGACTCTCTCTCTACCCCCCCGTGGAGTCCTGTAGCTCAGTGGTTAGAGCACTCGCTTTGCAAGCGAAGAGACCTGAGTTCATTTCCAGGCAGAGGGCAAAACCTTGGGCAAGTTTGCTTACTCCACAAACCTAATAATAATCCCTCCAAAACCAAAAACAATTGTGGGACACTGCTGTGCGCAATTGGCTGCCGTGTTCGCCCACAAATATACAGTCAATTCACTTTACAGTATAAAGGACGTGAAAAGCGCTATATCAAATGCAAGGATTATTATTAAGGATTATTATTACTATCCTGACTCTCTCTGCCCCACCCAGTCCTGACTCTCTTTCTACACCCCCCATCCTGATTCACTCTCTCTACCCCCCCGTCCTGACTCACTCTCTCTACCCCCCCACCCCCGTCCTGACTCACTCTCTCTACCCCCCCGTCCTGACTCACTCTCTCTACCCCCCCACCCCCGTCCTGATTCACTCTCTCTACCCCCCCGTCCTGACTCACTCTCTCTATCCCCCCACCCCCGTCCTGACTCACTCTCTCTACCCCCCCACCCCCGTCCTGACTCACTCTCTCTACCCCCCCGTCCTGACTCACTCTCTCTTCCCCCCCCCACCCCCGTCCTGACTCACTCTCTCTACCCCCCCGTCCTGACTCACTCTCTCTACCCCCCCCACCCCCGTCCTGACTCACTCTCTCTCTACCCCCCAATCCTGACTCACTGTCACTCTCTCTCTCTCTGTCACTCGCAGCCTAACTCTCTCTCTCTGTCCCGCCAGGTCCTGGCCTACACATACGAGCTGGAGTTCCTGTACAGTGGGCTGGAGAGCCGGCAGCTCGTTATCATTCACCACGTGCGGCTCCAGGCTAAAAGCCTTGCAGCTCATCCTGAGCGCTTGCACCACCAGAGGGTGAGGCCAGGAGCGGTGGGGTGTGTGCGTGGTGTATGTGTGGGGTGTGTGTGTGGTGTGTGGTGTGTGTGGGGTGTGTGATGTGTGTGTGTGGAATGTGTGTGTGATATGTGGTGTGTGTGTGGGATGTGTGGTGTGTGTGGGGGGGGGTGTGATGTGTGCATGTGGTGTGTGTGTGGAGTGTGTATGTGGGGTGTATGGTGTGTATGGTGTGTGTGTGGTGTGTGGAGTTGGTGTGTGTGTAGTGTGTGTGGGGTGTGTATTTTGTGTGAGTGATGTGGTGTGTGTGGTGTGTGTAGTGTGTGTGAGTAGTGTATGTGTGGTGTGTGTGGTGTGAGTGGTGTGTGTGTGTGTTGGGAGTGGTGTGTGTCAGTGTGGTATGTGTGTGCGGTGTGTGTGTGGTGTGAGTGGTGTGTGTGTGGTGTGAGTGGTGTTTGTGTGGTGTGTTAGTATGGTGTGTGTGGTGTGTGTGTGTGGTGTGTGAGCACAGTTGCACTTGTTGGTGACCTTTCCTCTGAAGTGTTGAGATGTTTTGACGTTGTGCCACCCTGTACATGTGTAATCATTTACGGAGTGAGGAGTGATGGGGGTGATGATGCCAGGGCTCTGTGGGCAGTGTTTGTGGAAGATGCCCTCACTTCATTGTGTCTGTTCTGCCCCCAGCATGGAAATCCTCCTGAACATGTGTGAGAAGTTCCTCCAGGAGCTCGAGGCATTCACAAGGTAACCAGCTCATTATTCCTCATCTCACCCATCAAACACACAGTCAAAACACTTTACAGCGTGTGCCATGAAGTGCTTTGAGACGTCTCAACAACATGATAAGGCGCTGTATCAAATGCAAGGATTATTATTATTATGTAGGTAGGGGTGTGTGTGTGTGTGTGTGGCTGCCTCTGTGTGTGTGGTGTGTGGCTGCCTGTGTGTTTGTGTGTGTGTTGATGAGTGTGTGGTGTATGAGTGCTGTGGGTTGCTGTATGTGTGTGAGTGCCTGTGTGCTGTGTGATGTGTGTGCTGTGTGTGTGATGTGGGCTGCCTGCCTGTGAGGCGATGCTGGACTTCATCGAATCCAAAGTCGAGGGAATCCACTCAGCTGCCTCTGCCCTTCTGTCTGTTACCCCCTCCCCATCTCCACCTCTCACCCCGGCCCCTACCCACCCCTCTCTCCACACCTTCGAGCCTGTCTTCTCTCCTCTCTCACCATCACTATAATACGCTTGAAACCGACCACCTGCTCCCTCGACCCCATCCCTACCCCTCTCCTCACCTCTCAGCTCCACCTCCTTGCCCCTCTACTCACTGACATTGTAACCTCTCCCTGTCCTCTGGTACTGTTCCCATCCCATTAAAAACTGCTGTCATCACTCCTATCCTTAAAAAAGCCCTCCCTGGACCCTTCTCTACTCCCTAACTACCATCCCATCTCCAACCTCCCCTTCCTCTCCTGGAACGAGTTGTTGCTTCTCAGCTTCACTCCTTCCTCTCCGCCACTCCCTTCTCAAACCCCTCCAATTCACAGTGTGTGTGAATGCCTGTATTTTTGTGAGTGCCTGTGTGTGTGTGTATGAGTGCCTGTGTTTGTGTGAGTGCCTGTGTGTGTGTGTATGAGTGCCTGTGTTTGTGTGAGTGCCTGTGTTTGTGTGAGTGCCTGTGTGTTTGTGAGTGCCTGTGTGTTTGTGAGTGCCTGTGTGTTTGTGAGTGCCTGTGTGTTTGTGAGTGCCTGTGTGTTTGTGAGTGCCTGTGTGTGTGTGTGTGTGTGAGTGCCTGTGAGTGTGTGAGTACCTGTGTGTGTGTGTGTGTGTGTGAGAGTGCCAGTGTGTGTGTGTGTGTGTGAGTGCCTGTGAGTGTGTGAGTGCCTGTGTGTGTGTGAGTGCCTGTGAGTGTGTGAGTGCCTGTGAGTGTGTGAGTGCCTGTGTGTGTGTGAGTGCCTGTGTGTGTATGAGTGTGTAAGTGCCTGTGTGTGTATGAGTGTGTAAGTGCCTGTGTGTGTGTGTGTGTGTGTGAGCCTGTGTGTGTGTGTGAGCCTGTGTGTGTGTGTGTGTGTGAGCCGGTGTGTGTGTATGTGTGAGCCTGTGAGTGTGTGTGAGCCTGAGTGTGTATGTGTGTGAGCCCGTGTGTGTGTGAGCCTGTGTGTGTGAGCCTGTGTGTGAGCCTGTGTGTGTGTGTGAGCCTGTGTGTGTATGTGTGTGAGCCTGTGTGTGTGTGTGAGCCTGTGTGTGTGTGTGTTAGCCTGTGTGTGTGAGCCTGTGTGTGAGCCGGTGTGTGTGTGAGCCTGTGTGTGTGTGAGTGCCTGTGTGTGTGTGAGTGCCTGTGTGTGTATGAGTGTGTAAGTGCCTGTGTGTGTGTGTGTCAGCCTGTGTGTGTGTTAGCCTGTGTGTGTATGTGTGTGAGCCCGTGTGTGTGTGAGCCTGTTCTGTGTGTGTGTTAGCCTGTGTGAGTGTGTGTGAGCCTGTGTGTGTGTGAGCCTGTGTGTGTGTGAGCCTGTGTGTGTGTGTGTGTGTGAGCCGGTGTGTGTGTATGTGTGAGCCTGTGAGTGTGTGTGAGCCTGAGTGTGTATGTGTGTGAGCCCGTGTGTGTGTGAGCCTGTGTGTGTGAGCCTGTGTGTGTGTGTGAGCCTGTGTGTGTGTGTGTGTGAGCCTGTGTGTGTGTGTGAGCCTGTGTGTGTGTGTTAGCCTGTGTGTGTGTGTGAGCCTGTGTGTGTGTGTGTGAGCCTGTGTGTGAGCCGGTGTGTGTGTGAGCCTGTGTGTGTGTGAGTGCCTGTGTGTGTATGAGTGTGTAAGTGCCTGTGTGTGTGTGTGTGTGTGAGTGCCAGTGTGTGTGTGTCAGCCTGTGTGTGTGTGAGCCTGTGTGTGTGTGTGTGTGTGTGTGTGTTAGCCTGTGTGTGTATGTGTGTGAGCCCGTGTGTGTGTGAGCCTGTTCTGTGTGTGTGTGTGTGAGCCTGTGTGAGTGTGTGTGAGCCTGTGTGTGTGTGTGAACCTGTGTGTGTGAGCCTGTGTGTGTGTGTGAGCCTGTGTGTGTGTGTGTGTGAGCCGGTGTGTGTATGTGTGAGCCTGTGAGTGTGTGTGAGCCTGAGTGTGTATGTGTGTGAGCCCGTGTGTGTGAGAGCCGGTGTGTGTGTGTGTGTGTGAGCCTGTGTGTGTGTGAGCCCGTGTGTGTGTGAGAGAGCCTGTGTGTGTATGTGTGTGTGCCCGTGTGTGTGTGAGCCCGTGTGTGTGTGTGTGTGTGAGAGAGCCGGTGTGTGTGTGTGTGTGTGTGAGAGAGCCTGTGTGTGTGTGTGAACCTGTGTGTGTGTGTGTGAGCCTATGTGTGTGTGAGCCTGTTTGTGTGTGTGAGCCTGTGTGTGTGAGCCTGTGTGTGAGCCTGTGTGTGTGTGTGCGCGTGTATGTGTGTGAGCCTGTGTGTGTGTGTGTCTGTGTGAGCCTGTGTGTGTGTGAGAGCCGGTGTGTGTGTGTGCGTGTGAGAGAGCCGGTGTGTGTGTGTGCGTGTGAGAGAGCCAGTGTGTGTGTGTGTGTGTGAGCCTGTGTGTGTGTGAGCCTATGTGTGTGTATGTGTGAGCCTGTGAGTGTGTGTGTGTGTGTGATCCTGTGTGTGTGTGTGTGAGCTTGTGTGTGTGTGTGAGCCTGTGTGTGAGCCTGTGTGTGTGTGTGTGTGAGAGCCTGTGTGTGTGTGTGTGTGTGAGCCTGTGTGTGTGTGAGCCTGTGTGTGTGTGTGTGTGTGAGCCTGTGTGTGTTTGTTAGCCTGTGTGTGTGTGTGAGCCTGTGTGTGTGTGTGAGCCTGTGTGTGTGTGTGAGCCTGTGTGTGTGTGTGAGTGCCGGTGTGTGTATGTGTGTGAGCCTGTGTGTGTGTGAGTGCCTGTGTGTGTGTATGTGTGTGTGTGTGTGTGTGTGTGTGTGTGTGTGATGGCTGTTGCTGTGCTCCTCCCCAGGTGTTTTGCTGTGGAGCTGCAGCAGTTACAGGGGGGGTTTGTGGAGCGGCTGTTGGATGTGATGCCGCGGCTCGTGGCCTGTAAACCCACCGAGATGGTGAAGATCCTGCAGACCACCCTGCGGCAGAGCGCCTTCCTGCACCTCCAGCTCCCAGAGCAGGTCAGTCACGTACCCGCTCGGCCGGCCCCGGCTTCCCGTTCGTCCCAGAGCCCTGGCACCTCGCCCTGGCACCTCGCCCTGGCACCTCCCTACGCCTCCGACCTGCTCCCCCCCATACACAACACCCACTGCCTCCGCTCAGCCGGCTCAGGCCTCCTGTTGTTCCCTCTGTTCCACCATCAGTGGCCGTGACTTCAGCCACAACACCCAGAAACTCTCTCCCTCAATCCCTCCGCCTCACCCCCCTCTCCCCACCTTCACATCCTGCCTTGTTGCTGGTGCTCACAGTCACCCTCCTCCCCCTCCCCCCTCCCCCCTCCCCGCTCTCCTTGGCTCGGGGTCAGACTCCGTCACTGTGAAACTCTCCGGGACGTTACCCCGTGTGAAGCCATTATATAAATGCAAGTTGTTGTTGTTGTTGTCCCCCTCTGCTCGACATTTGGTGGCACGTACGCCCCAAAGCTTTGCAACTCACTGCCCCAATCCCTCCGCCTTCCCCTCCTTCCCCTGTTTTAGATTACCTTCCTCTTCCACCGTGTTTACGGTCGTTTCCTCCCCGGCTCAGCCTCACAGCTCAGCCCTGGGAAGCGCTGCGAGACACTCCGAGTTGTTGTTGTCTCCCCTGAGCCCCAGTAACTCCCTGGTCCTCCCCAGCCACCTGTACACAGCTGCTGCAGCAATGTACTGTAGCTCAGTGGTTAGACATCGCCTCACAAGCGAGAGGATCCGGGTTCAATTCCCGGGCAATTGGGAACCTAAGGTAAGTTTCCTTACTCTGCATACACACACACACAGACAATACACACACACATAGACACACAGACAGATGCATACACCCACATAGACACTCACACAGACACACACACAGACACACACTTTTGTTTATCAGGGGTCAATTGGAACCTGATTAGCAGATCTTTTTTCAATGAGTAATAATCCCCCACAACAATGTGTTCACTGAATCTACGACTGTTTGTGGGACACTCACCGCTGTGTATAATTGACTGTCATGTTCTGCCACAATATTCAAAGTCACTACACTTTAAATATACTGTGTGACGCGCTTTGAGATACCTCAATGACATGATAAGGAGCTATCTGAAGGGTTATTATTATTATTACACTAGGGGACAGACACACAGTTGCGCCACTTGCCCTCAGAGGTTCCCCTTGTGCTTCCTGTGCTGGTGTTGGTGGAGCTGCCCAGTGGGGGCGGGGGGTGGGGTGAGGGGAGGGAAGAGTTGGTGGATGACCTGCTGGTCCTGGTGTGTTGTAGGTTCACCGGGCGTCAGCCACCATCATCGAGCCCACGGGAGAGTCTGACAATCCTCTGCGGTTCACCACAGGGCTGGTGGCTGTGCTGGAGCTGGATGCCACACTACAGCACGTGAGTGACCCCCCCAACTCCATCAAGGTGCAGGTGAGCAGCGCTGAGCGTACAACAACAACAACAAATGCCACTTACACACAGCGCTTTCACATCAGGACGACTTCCCAAGGCGCTGGACAGTCAGGGATCCACTCCCGAGCTGGGGGTTGGGATCAAAGCGGGCAGGGCAGAGGTAGGAGGGTGACCTGTCAAAGAGGAGGGTCTTGAGATGGGTCTGAAGATGGCGAGGGAGGGGAGAGGCGGAGGAACTGTGGGATGGAGTTCCAGAGGGTGGGGGCAGAGTGGCTGAAGGCCCCCCCACCAATAGTGGGGCGAGCGAGGCGGCCAGAGCCCGCTGAGTTGAGAGAGCGAGCAGAATGGTAGGGGGTTAGGACGTGGCAGAGGTTGGGGGGAGCGAGGCCATGGGGGGGGGTTTGAAGGTGAGGACCAAGATCTTGAACTGTGTCCTCTGGGTATAGGAAGCCAGCGGAGTAGGGCGAGAATGGGGGTGATGGGGTCGTGGCGCCTGGTGGGGGCGAGGATGGGGGTGATGGGGTCGGGGAGCCTGGTGGGGGCGAGGATGGGGGTGATGGGGTCGGGGAGCCTGGTGGGGGTGAGGATGGGGGTGATGGGGTCGGGGAGCCTGGTGGGGGTGAGGATGGGGGTGATGGGGTGGGGGAGCCTGGTGGGGGTGAGGATGGGGGTGATGGGGTCGGGGAGCCTGGTGGGGGTGAGGATGGGGGTGATGGGGTCGGGGAGCCTGGTGGGGGTGAGGATGGGGGTGATGGGGTCGGGGAGCCTGGTGGGGGTGAGGATGGGTGTGATGGGGTGGGGGAGAGGACATGGGCTGCAGAGTTAGTTCTGGATGATCTGCAGCCTATGAAGGGAGGAGTTGGGGAGACCAACAGGTCCAGTGAGTACCCCACTGACCGTCTCCTGTGGCTGCCCCCCCACCACCTCCCAGCCTTGTGAATAATCTCCCATCTTGCCCTCCAATTCCACAACACCCCTCCTCTAACATCCCTGGTGAAGGTTCTCCCTCTCCCCACCCTCCCCACCCCCCACCACACACACACACATCCCTTATTCCTGGCCCCATCCTGAGGGTGTGTCTGAAACCTCTTCTCGCCCACAAAAATTTCACCCACAAAATAAGTATATCCTGTGAGGCGCTTTGAGACGTCTCACCGACGTGATGAAGCCGCTGTATCAGACGCGGGGATTATTATGATTATTATTATCTCTGCAGGTTGTGTATCCCGACGGCCAGGCCCACATAATCCATCCCAAAGCGTCCGATTTCCGCAATCCTGGGCCCGGCAGACACCGATTGATTACCGAGGTCTATCTCTCTCACACAGCCTGGACAGGTAACTGACTCTGTCCGCACTCACTCACTCACTTCACACGGGGAGAAGAGGAGAAGGAGGAGGAGATGACAAGCGGTGAATTCACAGCCTCAGAGGAAAGGGTCAGAAACGCAACAAAAGGTTGTGGGGTCCCTGAGCTCACAGCCCAGACTGACCCCCCCAGGTCACTGTTGGGGTGAGCACCACATGGTCAGAGGAGCAATCAATCACATGTTTGGGTTGTTAACAGAGAACAGAGAATGGAGTCTCTCTCTCTCTCCCACTGTCCTGGCTATCAATCTCCCTAAACTATTTGTGGGACCTTTCTGTGTGAAAAATGTAGCTCGACTCTAAAGCGTCTGAATACATGTTTTGACGGTGCTCTCAATGTGGGTTTAGCTGGTTAGACCCCAGCAGTTACCCCAACACACACTCTGGGCTCCCCCCAAGCCTTGGGTCTCGCCCAACCTGCACCTAATACTATGTGATTACGAGAGAGAGAGAGAGAGAGAGAGCATTCCATCCCAGACACAGGGAGACTTCCGCGTATAGGGGATACATATCTAGAACTCTGTTTGGTTTGGAGACTCTGAAGCATCTTAATGGGTTTCCGTGTGTGTCAGACACCCGGCCGGTCACGGTGATGGGTTTCCGTGTGTATCAGACACCCGGCCAATCACGGTGATGGGTTTCCGTGTGTGTCAGACACCCGACCGGTCACGGTGACGGGTTTCCGTGTGTGTCAGACACTCGGCCGGTCACGGTGATGGGTTTCCGTGTGTGTCAGACACCCGACCGGTCACGGTGACGGGTTTCCGTGTGTGTCAGACACCCGACCGGTCACGGTGACGGGTTTCCGTGTGTATCAGACACCCGACCGGTCACTGTGACGGGTTTCCGTGTGTGTCAGACACCCGACCAGTCACGGTGACGGGTTTCTGTTACCCGGCTGGTCACGGTGACGGGTTTCCACTTGTTCCAGACTAAAACAAATCTCACGTGAGGCGTATTAAGTCTTTTTGATGATATAGAGGTTGTATAAAATGGACCAATTATTATATTCTATCCGATTGTTAGTTGACTAGCGGATCACTTTCCAGAAATAGTAATCCCTCCTCCCCAAAAGCAATTGACTGTGCGTGGGACATCCCTGTGCACAATTGGTTACCGGATTTTGCCCACAAAATACACAGTCGCTACACTTTACAGTATATTCTGTGAATCGCTTTGAAAGGTCCCAACAACGTGATAAGGCACTATATCAAATGCAGGGATTATTATTATGATGACTTGTGATGTGTGGTTGTGTTTTGCTTTGTTGGGTAGTGTAATAATTGGAGCTCTATCTCTCTCTCTGTCCTCTCTGCCTCTCTCTCTCCCTCTCTCGCTGTTTCTCTCTTTCTCTGTCTGTGTCTCTCTGTCTCTGTCTCTCTATCTGTTTCTCTACCTCTCTCTCTGTCTTCCTCTCTCTGTCTTTCTATCTCTTGCCTCACTGTCTCTCTCTCAATGTCTCTCTCTCTGCCTCTGTCTCTCGCTCTGTCTCTCTTTCTGTCTCCCTCTCTCTGTGTGTCTCTCTCTCTCTCTCTTTCTCTGTCTCTCGCTCTCTATCTCCCACTCCCCACAGAGCCCTGCCAGGTGGAGGTGCGACTGTTGTTGGCGTACAGTGCAAGCGGCAGCCGGGGAGGGGCTGGGGCCAGGCCGGCCTGGGGGGACAGTGTGGACGGACTCCCCCAGACAGACACCACCATTGAGGGCACCATCAACCTCAGCAAACCCGTCAAGGTCTACCTGATGCCCAAACCAGCCAGGCGCTGAGTTGAGCAGAGCCTGGGGGAGGGAAGTGGGGGAGAGCTCAGTGGTTAGAGCGCTCACCTCACGAGCGAGAGGACCTGGGTTTGAGTCCTGGGTTGGGAGAAACGTTAAAGTTTCCTTACTCCACACACAGACACAGACGCACACACCTCTGTTTATCGACAGTCAGTAGGAACATGGTTGTTAGGTAATTAGCGGATCACTTTTCCTGGGGTAATAATCCCCTTACAAAAATTGGTCACTTCAATCCACGATTGCCTGTGAGACACTCACTGCTGTGCGCAATTGGCTGCTACGTTTCACCCACAAAATACACAGTCAATTCACTTTACAGTGTATCCTGTGAAGTGCTTTGAGACGTCTCGAAGACGCAATAAGGCGCTACGTGTATTCTAATTGAAGGCACCTGTGTGGGTTCTGCGTGGAATTAGCCCATAGGCTACCCTCCCAACCCACATTTTAGACCCTGTTTATCGAGCATAAACATGACCCCTTCAGGGCACAGCCCTTCCTTTGCTTCAGGTAGAATTGGTGAAGCTACTTTAGGTGTCACTCAGTGAGTCGTGGTGGCGGGGGCTCTCTCTCCTCCCCCCACAGCTCCTCAACCCTCCCGCCTACTCCCTCCTCCTCTCCCCGTGGGGAAGTCACCCTGTGTGTGGTCCTGTAAATAAATAGCTTTGTAACAAAAATATCCCAGGTTTTGTTGCAGTTGTTTTTGAGTCTGTTTCAGCCTGTGGGCAGGAGACCGAGTGGAAGCAATGAAACCAGCCCCAGAGACTCGGGGGCTGAGTGGGGCGGCCTGACCTCTGTGCTGGGAATGTCCATCTACAGGGTGTCTGCAAAGTGGTTATCCTCCACTTCCCACTGTTTGNTTTTTTGCCACAATCTTATCTAATCTACGCCCAGAACTCCACTCAGCGCTTGGTGGGGGGGTGGGGGTTTGCGGAGGTGCCGTCCTTCAGATGAGACGTTAAACGGAGGGTACCATCTGTCTGTTCAGGTGGATTTTAAAGACCTTTGAAAAGAGAAGGCAGTTTCTCTCAAACTCTTTCTCTCCCGGTGTCCTGGCCGACAATCCCCCAACACTGACCAACAACATGTGGAAGGACGATGATAATTGTATTTAGAATTACTTCATTGTATTCACTACAAGTGTTTTAATGGCTGTCTGTGTGTGTGGTGTGTGTGTTACTGTATGTTAGTTTGTGTGTGTGTGTGAGTGAGTGTGTGACTGTGGGTCAGGGGTGTATGTGTTTGCGGGTTTTGTGTGTGTATTAGCGAGTGTGTATGTGAAACTGAATGTGTTTGTCAGTGTGTGTGTAGTAGTTTGCGTGTGTTAAGTTGTGTGAGAGTGAGTGTTTGTGTTATTTTTGTGTGTGTTAGTGTGTGGGTGTTTTGTAACGGGTGTAACAGGACCTTGTGGACAGCCTGTAAAGTTCCTGGGACCTTGAAGTAGCTTCAGTTAAAAGGTTAGTATGTTGGCTCAGAGGAGGACAGATGGAGAATGTGTGTCAGCCTGGCTCGGGTGATCGCCTGGCCCAGGAGATTGTGGGTTCAAGCCCCACTGCCAGCTGTATTGACAAGGTGCCATCTGCTGTGTGCGATCGGCTGCTGTGTATATTTCAAAATACAGTCAATTCACTTTACAGTATATTCTGTGAAGCGCTTTGAGGACGTCTCAAAACCGCGATAAGGCGATGTATCAAATGCCAGGATTATTATTATCTTTCACTTGAGACATTCAGGTGAACTTTTAAAGTTCCCGTGATGATAGGAACGTAGGAAATGCTAGACCAAAAAAGACCAAGGTCCATCCAGTTCACCTTCCACCATCCTGGCAGTTGCTACCACATGTCATGTCCTGAACTATATACTGTCTCCCGAGATATTATTTCCTAACTCTGACCTAACGGTTCACTGGCAGATCTGGCTACACCACATCAAAATGCACCACTCTGCCCTCGCCTCCGCCAAATCATCCAACTCCAAGATAATCTTGGAAGCGAAGGACATCCCCAGGCTCCTACTCTCCACCACCAACCGCTCCTCCATCCACCCTCCTACACTCGCCCATTCGCTCCTCAACCTCTGACTGTGAGGAGATACTGGATTTCTTCGAGTCCAAAATCGAGGGGATCCAATCAACTGCCTCCGCCCTCCCAATTGTCACTCCATCCTCATCTCCCCCCCACACTCTGACCCCTATCCAACCCTCCCACCATATCTTTGAACCTGTCTCCCCCTCCTCTCATCACCACCATATCCACCCTGAAACACCACCTGCTCCCTTGATCCCACCCCTCTCCTTACCTCCCAGCTCCACCTCCTCACCCCTCTGCTCTGACACCATCAATATCTCCCTATCATCTGGCAAGGGGAGGCGCTGCGGCTGAGCAGCGGTATAAACCCCCTATAGTGTAGGTCAGCAGCCGCTAATTCAGAGAGTGGGAAAACAACAAGTGACGTCAGGGGATGTCACACTTAACGGCTGAACCTGGGGGAAAAAAACAGGGAGAGAGAGAGGAAGGAATTCGGAGAGGAGAGCGAGGGCAGTGTGGGGAGGAGCTGCGGTGGAGCTGCAGGAAAACAATAAGTGACATGACCGTGAGGTCAGTGTGAGTGGCGGAGGAATGGCAGGGCGGGTGTTGTGGGAGTTGAAGGAGAGCAGCCTGAGCCCCGGCAGCTACATCTGCGACTAAAGAAGCTTCAGCGCAGAGAGCTGCTGAGCTGCAATCTGAGGTGTAGACATTGCACAGCGTTAGAGAAGAGGAAAGCGACCTGGATACTCTGACCCAGGAGGCAATCACTCCCCCGAGGCTCAGTAGATGTACAGATCTTGTCAGTGGTCAGGGACAGGACAGTGTGACTGACAGTCAGGCAGGTCAAGGGGACCCCAGAGGGAGTGGTGGAGGAGCCTCAGGCTTTAACCTTGTCAAACAGGTACAAGGTACTTGCAACCTGTGTGGGTAAGGAAGCCTGTAAAGAGGATGGGCAAACTGACCACAGCACCTCTGTACAGGAGGCCACACAAGTGGGGGCAGCAAAAAGGAATGTGGTTGGGGACGATATAGTCAGGAGGACAGATACTCTTCACTATCAGGAGTCACAAAGGCTGTTGCCTTCCTGGTGTCAGGGTTTAAGGATGTCTCTTCACGGTTGGAGAAGAACTTGGAGCAGGAGGGGAAGGATCCCATTGTGATCCACATAGGAACTGACCACATGGATTCTGCTAGTAAAGATGATCTGATGAGGGAGTTTAAAGAGCTAGGGATGAAATTAAAAAGCAGAACCTCTAAGGTAATAATCTCGGGATTACTCCTGAGCCATGCACAAATTGGTACAGGGTCAAGCAGATTAAAGGGTTAGACTGGCTGAAAGAGCGGTGAAGGAGGCAGGGGTTTCATTTTATGAGCCACTGACACCAGTATTGGGGAAAGAGGGAGCTCTTTGATCGGGATGCGCTCCACTTAAACCGGGCTGGGACCAGTGTCCTGGCAAAACCAATAACTAGGTAGATAGAGTGGCGGAAGGAGGGAGCGAGCGAGTGAGAGAGAGGGAGGGTGGGGTGGGGGTGGAGGAGGGAGGGTTACGGTTAAATGTAAACTTACAAAGCAATTAAGTCAAGACTAGAGCAGAGTAGCGACTTGGGAAATGAAAAAGAGTGTCAGGTAGGGACAAAGAGTTTAACAACAAAAATAGAGCATTAATGAGTAGGGGAAATAGTAAAAAGTTAAAATTAAAGGCGCTAACCTGAATGCACGAAGCATTTGAAACAAGATAGATTAATTAATGGCACAAATAGAGATAATCCGTACGATCTAGTGGCCACTACTGAGATGTGGTTACAGGGAGACCAAGGTTGGGAGCTAAACATTCCAGGGTACCTGAAGTACAGGAAAGATAGGCAATATGGAAACCGAGGGGTGGGAGGGGGCTGTTAATAAAGGATGAGATAAAAACAGGAGAGAGGAAGGATTTTAAGTCAGAAAATCAGGATGTAGAGTCAGTCTGGGTGGAGGTGGGGCAGAAAACACTGGTGAGAGTAGTTTATAGACCCCCGAACAGCAGTTACAGAATTGGGCAGAGTATTAATCAGGAAATTAGAGGAACGTGTAGCAAGGGGAATACAATAATAGCGGGTGATTTTAATCTTCACATAGACTGGAAAAACCACATTGGCAAAAGTGACTTAGAGGATGAGTTTATGGAATGCATTGGAAATAGTTTTCTAGAACAATATGCTGAGGAAACAACCAAGCAACAGGCTCGCCTCGACCTTGTATTGTAATGAAGGCAAGCTAATCAGTAATCTTCAAGTTAAGGCAGAGTGACCATACATAATATGATGGAATTTAATATTAAGTGATGGAGTTAAGTCCGAAACAAGTGTCTTAAACTTAAATAAAGCCAACTTTGCAGGTATGAGGGACGATTTGGCTAAAATAGACTGGAAAAATAGATTAAAAGATATGATGGTAGACCAGCAATGGCAAACATTCAAAGATATATTAGATAATTCCCAGCGAATGCATGTTCTCTTGAAAAATAAAAATTCCACAGGAAAAGTGCTTCAACCATGGCTAACTAGAGAAGTTAAGGAAAGTATAAAATTAAAAGAGGCCTATAATATTGCCAACAAGAGCTGTAAGTCTAAGGATTGGGAGGGCTTTAGAGATCAGCAAAATATAACCAAGAAACTGATTAAGGAGAAAATGGAACATGAGTAAACGAGCTGGAGATATGAAGACAGATTGTAAAAGCTTTTACAATATATAAAGAGGAAGAGATTAACAAAAGTAAATGTGGGTCCTTTACAGGCAGAGACAGGAGAAATTATAATGGGAAATAAAGAAATGGCAGTCACTAAACAAATATTTTGCTTCTGTCTTCACATTAGAAGATACTAAAAATTTACCAAAATAGTGGGATTAATGTTAGTGAGGAACTTAAAGAAATTAATATTTTGCCCACAAATATACAGTCAATTCACTTTACAGTCTATTCTGTGAAGCGCTTTGAGACGTTGAGAAGACTGAAAAGCGCTATATCAAATGCAAGGATTATTATTATTATCAGTAAAATAATAGTACTAGAGAAATTGATAGAACTAAAAACTGATAAATCCTCTGGACCCGATGGGCTGCATCCTCGGGTTTATGGC